GTAGGATTCCCGTGTAATTTTGACACCAAGAATTTCCTACAATCGCAAGAAGAATAACAGTCATCCTACTGAACTGATGGCATCCACCGGAGCAGGTTCCAGCTCTCAGCATCAGATCAATCATGTACCTGCTGTCCATGTTCCTACAGCTGAAAAGCCCGAAAAATTCAACGGGCTTGACTTTAAGAGGTGGCAACAAAAGATGCATTTTTACCAGACCACTTTAGGTTTGGCAAAATATCTGAAGGATGATCCCCCTCTTGTTGCTGAAAATGAAACCAACGCTGAACTACGTGCTGCGAAAATAACACTTTACTTGAATATTGAATACTAATAGCCAAAATTACCATATTGTTCCCACCGGCAATCTTCCTCCTCCAGCTAAACGGAGTTTGTAGAAGGCTGATTTTCCGGCGATAAACTCGAGCGACGTCCTGACGGAGATTAAAAGACCGCCGGAGCTGGGAAAACTCTTCGCTCGCATGATGGGATTTTGCATCTGCCCGTTGGATACGCCGGCGAGGTTGCTCTGGTGCTCGAGCTTCTTCCGCCACAAGCTAATGTTATTCTAATAAATCTATAATTACTAATTTCAAGCGAAAATTGCTCTCGATTTACATCGTATTTTAGAGGTACTTGAAAAAAAATAAAGCTCTTTAGATTGCTCTCGATTTACATCGTATATATATATATATATACACGTACCCGCCGCGCGTGTGCGTGCTTGCGGCGGTCGATTTGAATTGATTTAGCCGCCGGCGATCTGAGTTAAAAAAAGGGGGAAAATGGAATCCGGGCGGTTTTTCTTCGACCCGTCTTACCAAAAAAACATGTTGTTCATGGGGAATGGCGACTCACGTTTTCGAGGAGCAAGATCGGTGATGGACATGGAGGAAAAGAAGCGGCCTTTCTTCAGCATGGCTGAGGAGCTTTACGACGAAGAATACTTCGACGAGAAGTTGCCGGAAAAGAAACGCCGTCTCACGTCTGAGCAGGTGCACTTGCTGGAGAAGAGCTTTGAGGCCGAGAACAAGCTGGAGCCCGAGCGCAAGATCCAGCTGGCTAAGAATCTGGGCTTGCAGCCGAGACAGGTAGCGGTTTGGTTCCAAAACCGTCGTGCCAGGTGGAAAACCAAGCAGCTCGAGAGAGACTATGATGAGCTTAAGGCCTCCTTTGATTCTCTCCGTTCCAATTACGAATCCATTGTAAAGGAAAACGACAAGCTCAAAGCTGAGGTAGAAACTAAACGAACTTTTTGTTAGAATTATTGAGTGATAAATTAATGTTCTTAACTAATATTCTTCCAACTTGATTCTTATTCCTCTACTTACTTGATTCTTATTCTCTACTCTAATTTGTTTATTTAGTCAACTATATTTATATAATGGTTAGGCAAACCATTTTCACCCAATTATTCCTTATCATGTGTATTAATACATGTTATGTGGGAATTAAGATGAAGGAGGACAGAAACATTTTGGAACGGCTGAAAAGGAGAAAAAGGAAAGAAAGAGAGAGAAAA